AATTGATCTTTTAAAAGTAATAAAAATTAATTCCTTATAGCTTATAGCCAACCTGAACTCAGAAAATGCTAATATTGAAGTGTGGATAATTTCTAAACAACCACCATACAAGCAAACTGAATTTAGTATTAGGAGGAGGATGTAATCAATTTACCTCTCTCAATAGATGACAAGATCGCTCTTAGCAAACATGGCATCAAGACTTTAGATGTGGCAGATTTATCAAGTTATGAGTTTTGCAGCATACTTTTTTCTTTTGTAAATCCAAGTTTGTGAAGCAATGCATTAAAGGTGATGCTACCTTGGAAAGGGAGAATTTCTAGCTTGAGTGACAATTGCTTTTGAAAGCAGATTCGAAAGTCCGAAAGATGGAGGTTGGCAACTATGCATTTGCTAATGACAGATGGTGTAACTTAATCTCGATTGGCAGGAAAATGAATGATATTAAATGACGAAAAAATTCCAAATCGTCATCAATCATTTACTTTGTATAAGAAAATTATTAAATCATGAGAGATGATGGTTCTTACAAGTCTGTTCAGATTTTAAAATATAGAATACAGTATATGGAAAAGGTTTATTTCGGTCGAGTGCACTAGTTATTCTGTAAGGATTTTAGGCCATCCTTATACAGGGTGTATCAGAATAATGTTTTAAAAATTTGAGAGATTGTAGAGGTTGAAATTTTGAACGTTTTGATATAAGGAACCCATAGCCGGAAATGTGATATAAAGTTTCTACAGCAGTAGGAAGTGCTTGACCGCCCTTCACTTTGTAGTTACCCTTCTATCCATTGACATGTTATTGTTCTTGACTTCTTCCTCTGAGATTATGTAAAGTCCCTTGTGTACATAACACCTGTAGGAACAGTTCGTGAGCTTACGGTGGATATACACCTGTAGGAACAGTTCTTGTATATCCAGATACAGTAAGATCTCTGTAAGATACCATGCTCCCCTCTGATGGTATGAAATGTCATCAGAGGGAGCGTGGCATCTTACAGAGAGTTGGACAAAACATGGTTCGTCATTGCACATTATGTAACAAAGTTGATGGTCGTCACATTGAACATTTACTCTAAAGTAGTGCATCCGCTGATTCAATGTACAGTTTGATTGTACTCTACTATTTTGTCAATAAAACTTGTCATAAATACTGTATTCTGCTGTTTCATTCAGCATACCAAGTGCAAAGTGCTGTAGAAACTTTATATCGCATTTCCGGCTATGGGTTCCTTATATCAAAATGTTCAAAATTTCATCCTCTACAATCCCCCAAATTTTTAAAACGTCATTCTGATACACCCTGTATAAGTAGAGATTTTTCTTCACAAGATAAGAAAAACCATAGAAGGCCATATATCTTGATTTTGAGTGGATGAAACTAAACACTGGTAGTCGGTTATGTTCGTGCCCGATGGATAGGCTGGCCGTGTGGAGTTTTCTGGGTTTTATTTATGCATCTAACGCCTAAGTAGTGGCTGGTTTCTGGTAAAAAGTTGGGCGATATAATATGGACGTAGCCTGGATATAACATTCTTACGTCAATAAACGTGTAAGAATGTTACATACAGAATAAGTAATGACCATTGATGATTGATCGTAAGTGAATACGTGCTCGAAAAAAGCTCGCTTTCAGTGCTCCCTGCAACTCCTTTACCCGTTAATGCATAAATAAGCCATTCTACCCACTTTGGAAACTGCTAACTTAGCCTATTTTAATAATAAATTGTTGTTTTTGTATTTTCTTTCTTGAATACTAATGTATCAATTTTTTATATGTTCCAACCATTAATAATTAAAACAACTTTTTGTTATGTTAAATATATGAAAAGTTTTATTCATTTAATTATAATTTAGTCATAGAAGAGATAAAATTAAAAATTACTAGTAAATTTTTATGTAAATATGAAATAAAATATAATAGCAATTTTCTTACATTTTATACATTAATAACAACAACAAATTTTTTTACAGAACATATTCTCAATAAAAATAATTGCAGTATGGAAAATATAAGAGAGCAGATTGAAAGTTTAAAATCTAAAGAACAACATCTTGATGAGCAAATTAAAAATCTCAGAGAAGAGTGTGTATATTTTCAATAATTTCCTTATTAGCTATTTTTAAAGAACATCGTGTAAAATATAAACTGATTAATTAAAATTAAATTATTACTTATATCTTCCATTCATTTCAAGAAAAGAATAATAATGTTTGTAGAAAAAAATTATAATTAACCATTTTATTGAAGTTATTGATATCAATAAAGTAGTTGCAAATATTAATGGTATTTTCAAGCACTCAGACCTGTTTCCAAAGTTATTCAATTACATAATTATTTTTTAAAACACAAGTTCTTCATATATTTAAAAATATTTAATAAACTATGAATATTTTTAAATATTACTATTTTATTGAGTAGCTTCTGAAGATGAATTCTTATGCTTGAAGATATTAAGTTATATCTATTTTTAATATTAATAAATTAAATAATTGTTTAAAGTATTATTTTCATATATTTTTGTTTGACTTTAATCATTTTAAGATTTGATAAATTAAGAATTTATTGAACATATGTCATATTGTTCAATAAACTCATTTTTGTTTATAAAATTTTAATCCTGAAAACAGTATTAAAATCAACAAAAATTTCTGAAAGAGACATATGTCATAATTAAACTATTTAATATAAAATGATAACTACTTTAACATTGAGTCACAGTAATAATGTCTATGAAACTTTCACAGATTATTTAATCTCAAAAATATATCTTTTACCTCACCAAATTTGATTTTAAAAAATAATCAATAATTTAATGATTATTGTGATTTTTCTAAATTACTAATAATAAGTGTAATAAATAATAAACAATTTTTTTTATGAAACAGGAGTCTTGAACTTCATAAAACTTCCACAGCCTCAACTGAGTATTGTCCAACAAAGATACGTGAAATGATCTGTAACTAAATTTCGGTACAAATCAAAGCTTGAATCTTATTTTCAAATGTAATCCACTAATATAAAACTTGTTTGTTTAATATTAAGTTTTTTGGGCGGGGCATGTCTTGACAGCCGAGGCTGCTGGTGACTTTTCCTTCTCGCTTCGACACACAGGAAGCTTGTGAACTAGTAATTTTTTTTAATTAATTTAGTTGTAAGGAAAAAATTAGAATTAGATATAATTTATTATCCTTTGAAAAAAAAAACTAAATACTGACATTCACCGGTAAAGCGAGGAAGACCACCATTAAACTGTACTAAACTGGGCAACAAGAAAGATCAATCACCTTCGACTAACTCCAAACTTATAACAGACTTCAATCTATATGTGGATAAAGACTCACAGGATACGTCCTCGGTTGTAATTGATCCTCATACAAACATAGTGTCACAGAGTCCACAGAAATCCCCAGGTGAGTCAAATGTAATTTGTCCTGCCTCATTAACTAATCCAGGCAACTCATCAGACACTTCAATGACAGTTTTATGGTATAGAATTTCGGATTTAATAAATACTACGAATGATAGACACTATAATCAAATAACTTCCATAGAAGAAGATTTAGATTTAATTCATGAAAGTATTCGAGAAACTAAAGAATAGTATCAAAAAAGGGAAGTTAATCTGAAACAACAAATTGATAACTTAAAAGCAGAAAAAGAACTTATGTAATTCAAAATGGACACTTTAGTCAATGGTCTCCATTATAATAATATAATAATGCATAATTATCCTATTTCGGAAAACATCTCTATAATAATGCATAATTATCTATTTCATAAAATTTTATCAAATCATTATTAGACTTGCCGACTGTATCACAGGATGATGTTCAGATATAATTTAACTAAACAAGTCAACCAACCAGTTATATTGAAATTATCAGATCTGGGATCGAGTTTTTACTGCTTTTATAAAAAAGAAACAACAAAATCTACAGGAAGATTGGAAGAATATGCAGCTTTCACCAGACAAAGGAGTCAAGAGAAAGACAAAAACATTTACTCCCAACCTATAATAATGAAATAAGAAAACAAAACCATCAAATAAAACTATGTAATGACATCTTGTTAATAGGCCAACATAGACTAACATATAGTATGAACACAGGAAAATTAGTTTGTGAATAATTTTTTGCCATTTCCCTTGCCAATGAAACCGAAAAGATGATATCAGACAAACTAAGGGAATTTGATAATGGATATTTATAGAAAGACTAAAGCAGGGGTTAAAAAACTATGAATTGATATACAGAATCATTTGATATAAAGACTCTGGTGTATTGCAAAGTGAAATTTTAATTCCTTTGTCACTTTCCTTATATGTTAATGAACTGGTGGATCGTATCAATCTATCTGGCCTTCCAGGTTTGTATATTTCTGTTGATAAAGAGCTTCATATATTGATGTATGCTGATGATAGTCATTATAGCAGCTACTCCAAATTTTCTACAGAAAAAATAAATATTTTAACAGAATTTTGTGACCATTTTGATTTAAAATGTGGCCTTTATTAACAGCATTAAAAGTATCTAATGTTAATACTTACAAGAAATTATTTCATTTGTTAATAAACTCTGAGTTGTCTTATAGATTTCCTATCTGGGAGATGAACCATTTTCAAGATCTAGAAGTTATTTTTTGTATATTTTTTTGTCAGATTTATAAGCTTTCCAGATTGATTCCAGGATATATGATACGATTAATAATGGGATGTTTTAGAATTTCAGTTTTGTTGATTAAGTTCTGGATAAGAATTTTGGAAATGTCAGAAGATTATATTACCATAGAATGATTAAAATACAATCTGATAACTCTAACAACAAATATAATTGGATACTTTCACTAAAGAAATAGTGGATTATTTTGTCAAATGTGATAAAATGGTACTTGCCGATAATTATAAAATCTTATTGTGAACAAAGTATACAGAGAGACTGGTCTGAGGTAGAACAGAATGTTCATTGTAAATTACATTGTTCTTTTAAATCACATTTTTACACAGAATGATATCTTAACTGAAATATTAATTATTTTGTTAAACATACTTTAATACAACTAAGATTTAATCAAAGTTTTATTGTATTGTATTATTTAATAAGAAAATTTGTATTAATCTTAATGAAAAATATGCATATTGTACTTCGGTCAAAATGAGACTTGGAAACACATCTTTTTGTTTTGTAATAGATATATCATATTTTACTCTACAATCATATCTCAATTTCAACAACAGGAAGACATTATTACCTTATCTTCTGCCTGTGAAGATGTATCTTGAAAAACTGTATTATTTCTTTTTGTATGTCTAAAGTTAAGAATATAATTATACTTTTGTATATTGTAAAATCTGTTATATTATGAGTTGTATACTAACAATAATGTTTATAAAAATGTACGTATTCNGCATGACAATATGACATGTTGAATACATGTCATATTGTCAGGAAATTCCGGAATACAGACACACACTGACACATTTATTTAACTTTTGTTTTGTTTTGGTTGCTATCTGTGCCTCGACTCTGGTCCGGCATAGCACACAGTAGGATTTCTCATTTCCCGGGATTCCGGGAAAAAAGTTAACTGTTTTCCGGATATAATTAATTATTTTTAAAATATAAAATAAATCTTAAAATCGAATGATATAATTATTTTTTAACTAACTTAATACGCCCCGTAACCTCCAAAATAACTGGAAGTGAGGTGATGGAAATATAACGACATCTCGCATTTAAATGTTAGACGCGTGAAGAAAACCTCGAAAACTGAACTCGGGCAGCCCGTTAGCCAGGAGCGAACCCGCGACCAACTAGTCTTTTTATTTAGCGGTGGTATCCACTCGGCCAGAAACCGTAATCTGTCAAACGATTTTTAGCGTTATAGCGTCTCAAGTCGACAAATTAATCGAGCACAAAAAATGTAATAATGTGACACGAAATTTAATTTAAAATAATATACAAACAGTTACTTAAATCTCGGCAAATAAAATCCATCCGCAGGTATTGCGGCTAAAAGATTACTATAATAAGTATCGAATGATCTCACTATCGTTCCTCTGCAAAAAAGGAAAGTTGACTCAGATTTTATCAAGTTTCTTATCAAACAATGAATACGTTACATTGATTTTTTAAGTTTCAAACGCTCTACTTACAAGAAAATGACTTCCCCTATTTTTTTGTTAGATGGCGGGGTCCATATTAGAGTAGCCGAAATTTTAGGTCTAGCGTTAGTGTGAGTTACGGCGGAACACGGTAATGTATCCATTCCTTGGCTTTTTAACCAAGTTCCGATTCTCTCGTTTGTAACGGGATCGATCGCTGCTATGAGAAAACCTTTAAACGGAGCGCCTCCTAAATCGACTAGAAAAGTATAAAATGGATTAATAAAGAACTATCTCAATTGGTTGCTTACGCATAAAGTACGTTTTCACGCACACATATTACTTACTACGAACAATCGAATAATCTCGTATTACGAACTTACCAATTATTTTTTTCGACGTTTCGTTATAATGATTAGAAGAGGCTACAAACGTATAAGGAGAATTTGAATTTTTTGAAGGTTTCGTCGTAACGTGTCGAGGAATCATGGATTCGCACGTTTCGGCAGTGGCACCTTGAGGAAAGGCGCCGGCTCCCGCACACAAAACAATAAGCGCAAAGAGCGATATATCGACGGACATATTCTCAACTGTTACAAATTGTGAATGTATAGTGTTTTTTTATTATAAAATTATAAGATATATTTAATATCTACAATAATTCTAAATTTAGAGTGGATGGCCTTTGTCGTTATTATGATTCCATTATATTAGTCTCGAATGATAGACGAAGCGGAGCGAAACTTTTTAGTTACGCCGTCGTTGCCGAATTGTATCGGTTTTTTGTGTAGCAAAAAGTAATACTATCGATAATTATTATAAGAGAGATTGATTATTCTAATTTATTCGTAGATACTTATGAATTTAAATTTTAATATAGCGGACGCTCTTTTAGAAATGATTATTAAAATTTAATTATTTTTTCCGAAATTGGATTATTGTATAATGAAAATATGTTTTCACTAGCTGTTACCCGCGACTTCGTCAGCGGAGGTTTTGCAAGCAAACCCCATTTACATCCAATATTTCAATAACCATAGTAATTGTTATATAACACCTACCGCTGAAGAGAATTGCCGAAAATCAAACGAACTATTTTCAATTTGATCAATTTTCTGAAACGTTTACAATCGTTCTATAATCGAACCAATACGCAATAACAAATTCGAATTTAAAAC